GGAAGAATATTATTAAAGGAAATGAATCCTACTATAATTAATATCAAGATGTTAACTAATTATCATCTTAGCAACACTCCCCAACATTAATATAGAGGAAGAAAATACTACTCTAACTAATGTCAAGATGTTAATTAATTGTCATCTTAGCAACACTCCCCAACATTAATATAGAGATAGTATTAAGGAAAGAACTAATAATTGATATTCAAGGGAAAAAGTTAAGAAAATAACTCACAACTCTAATAATCAACAAGCTTCAAGAGCAACACCAAGAAATGGAAGTTTAGCTCCTCATTTGGAGACTAAACATAGCTAGAAAAATATAAATAAATGCTATTCTAAACTGAGCTTAAGAGTATGGAAGAAGGGATGATGAAAAGTGAAGGAAAATGAGGTTATTTATAGGTGTTTTCAATACTTATGGCCGGATACCCGGTCGGGTATTTGACATACCTGACAGGGTATTTATTAAATCAAATCTTTTTCCAACGTTTTTGTGTTCTTCTGCACGTCTTTCTATTTGAAAACACTTCATACCCGACCGGGTATATGGAATACCTGACCGGGTATTTGATATAATTTCCCAGAAGATTCCTCTTTCACTTCATACCCGGTCGGGTAAAGGCCATACCCGACCGGGTTTTGCACAAAACTCAGGTTTCTTCATGAAAGATTGGCACGGATATTACTCCTCGGCTTTTGTCGGACGAAAATATGACCGATTTAGAAATTTACGCAAAAGTGATCGGACCAGACTTCCCCTTTCAACCTACGCTTTCTCTTCCCATCTTCCGCACAGCTCCAGGCCTCCAGCATCCAATCTTCCGCCTAATACTTTTCCAGCGTTTCCGTTCAGATCCTCTTCATCTCTTTGTGTCCGTCGTTTCTGTCCATCTTCGCGACTCACTTGTGAACATCTCTATGACCATCTCCAAAGCCCAGCTTTTCATATCATCAACAACAGAGGCATTGATCTCGGGGAGTGTCACCGCCGTCCTCGCAACTGTTGGATGGAGCAATTGTTGCAAATGTCAACCCTCTCCCCTGAAATTCAAATCGACATCGCCGCCATCTCCTTCTATAACTCAATCGCAACGAGATCTAACTGTTCAAATGTTGTCTTCCATCAGATCCGTCGTCGACGGCCACATCCGCCGTCGTCGTTCATGTAACGGTTGTTGCATTTCACGGCTAGGGTTCCTGCGTTGCAGATGGGGCTTAGAGGATGGGGAGGCACACTAGGGAGCGGGGCTGGGGCAGGAGATGGAATGATGCAGAGGGCAAAGTGTACGGGAGGGGGCCTGTAATTGGAGGGCGTGGGGCCAGGAAGGGGTTGTGGCTGGAGGCGGGGAAGGGAGCTAGGCTGGGAAGGGTGATAGTGGGTAAGAAGTGTGCTGGCGGTGGGAGGTCTGGTGGCGGATTGTGATCGGCGGTGGCGGGTCTCTGTGGCTGAGTCACTTTAGCAGCATCATTGTGGTCGGAGTCACCATGTCACTATGACGGCATCACTGTGGTCGTGTCACTGTGTCATGGTGGCCGAAATCACGGTGGCTAGAATTAGTGTCACGAGAGGGATGTAACTATATATTTGTCACTATGATAGGTGGTGTCACTGTGATTGTGGTGGTGACCGGCGGCGCCAGTGACACGGGCGGCGGCGGAGGTAGTGATACGGGTAGCAGTGTGACATTCGACAGTGACATGAATAGTTGACTATCACTTTAATTTACTCACATTTTTGTCTAAATTTAAAAAATTGTCATATTTTTGTCCAAATTTAAAAGTGGTCACTTTTTTGGAAATCGATCTTAATTTAGTAATATTCAGGGGGAAACCCCAATTTTACCCCTTTCTTCATCCTTTTTGCTTCCAAACCTATCCTAAACATATAGCCCAACTAGCTACAACTTACAACAAACAATAAAATGCTAGAAATACAATTACAATCAAATGCAAACTAACAACTACAAACTTGTACAAAACTAGTAAATAAATATTACAAACAATAATAAAAATGTATACTTAGGCACTAACAACTAATGCCTATCAACTTATCTTTATCTTATCCATTTTATTCAACTTTATCTTTTTTTTTTGTTTCTTCTCTTTTTGTTATGATATCATAGACCGATTTATGTTAGCCGATCAAAATCTTTTGAGGATAAGGCTTAGATATTGTTGTTGTTGTTGAAGTCATTCCTATCTCACATGTGATTGCCATAAGGTGGGAATGTCATGACAAAAGTTGCTAAAATAGTATTTTTGAATCGAATCATTAAAAGTTTTTATAAATCGAATCGTTAAATCAAATCGTAAATCATAAGATTTTACAAAAGATGTATATATTAATAATTGGAAAATGAATACATATTTAAAAAGATACAGGTTAATAATACTATGCCATCTCATTGCATAAACTATACATATGAGTAGATTTGTCCCCGATTTGAACCATAACCTAAGCCAAACCGGTGTTCCCATTTCCCCGGACTATGAAACCAGAACCTTATAGGTTCAGGTCTCAACCCCATGAGAATCTACTGGAATTTGGGGTCGGTTTGAATTGGTCTCCTCGTTAGGGAAGACGGTATTAAGAGGAACAGAACTAGAATAGAACATAATGGAACTGACTTGACAAAAGAAAGTCCAAACGATGAAGGAATTCCTTGCCGCCTAGGGTTCCCAACCAAGAAAATGAAAGGATGTGCGAAAGAGATCTTAAGGAAAATGTGCGCTTAAATAGCCGGATGCGATGGCACTTTCCAAAAATCCGCTTGGAAACCGCTACCCAAGCACTTAAGTGCTGAGGTTGGTAGGGTCGATTGGGAGTTGCGCCGCGCGGCAGGCCCATGTCACATTAAGGCCGCATTAAATGCTAAGCGGCGCTACGGATCACGAAGGAAATATTCGAAATTCAAAAGAACGCGGTTAGTTACTCAACTAAAATCAAGCCCGACTTATTTTAGAGAGTAGGGGGCTCGTGATGGTACCATGGATGATGGATCACATACATGGCCCAAGAATCATTTTAAGTAAAGCCCGTCTACAAGACCAGGCCATTAATCGGGATTAATAAGTAATAATAGCCATTGGGCCTAATAAGGGGTCCAACCCGCGAGAGAAATCCACAACTAGGCAAGGCTGGACAGCAGACCTCGAGCCTGGGCGGAGTTCTAGCGAATTCAGACTCGTCTTAGGGCTTACGTGGCAGACTGTCATTTGAGCGTAGCTATCTAACAACGGCAGGAAATAACGGAAGAAACGTGGACTATGAAGAACAATAATCGCACATACAAGCCTTATCACTTCTACCCACAAAATTGTCCAGAATGAAAAAGAAAAAGCAAACCAGCAACCTAACGCTATTGTTCACAAAAATAACCAATACAACGTACTCAACTGAAATGAACGCTAAAGCAATAAAAAGTCTCAAAGCCTCCTGCCTTTTTTATTCCCACGTGCTCTGAAGGGATAGGGGTCAAATCTATGTTAGGCGAGCTACAAAATTGTAGCTCACCTATACCCCATTTTTTGCTCGGCCATGCTCTATTTCCATTTCCAACCTAGCCGGATGGCCTCCTGAATACTCCACACGGATGACTTTATAGGTAAAAACTGTCTACCAAAATTTTAAATCATGCAACCTTTCTTTGTTGAATAACGCTTATTTTACTTAATAGAAGTAAGATTATAATACTCTCAATAACTCAATCTAATGAAAAGTAAATGAGTTTTTCCCACTTTTGATCCCCTCACTATTGTAGTATTGTGTCGGTGACACTTTTGGTATTCGACTTTCAATTATTGCATTTTTAATCCTTGACTATTGTATGTGAGACACTTTTGGTCCTCAACTTCAAAATTTTCCATATTTAGTCTCCCAAGTATTATCATATTGACACTTTTAGTCCTTCCAATATGAATTTGACACAATAAATGAAGAACTAAAAATGTCATTATCATAATAGTTGAAGGACCAAAATCACTTTTATAAAAGTCAAAGGACTAAATATGGAAATTTTCAAAGACGGGTATCAAAAGTGTCTTTCACAAAATAGCCGAAGGACTGAAAGTGGAATAAATCAAAGTGAAGTACCAAAAGTGTCAGTGACATAATAGTCAGAGGACTAAAAATGGCAAAAACTCAAAAGTAAATTGACCTCTACCAATCGTGTTATGCAACGTGTTGTTGCCACCATCACCTTCATTAAAATTGGAATGTCACAAAACTATATATTCTAAACTTTTTTTCTTAAATAAAACATAGCTAAGGACTAATTTGCTAAAATCTTAATCTTAGAATGGCTAATGTCTTCAAAAAAATTGATTACACCGATTATTAAATAAATAAATTACAAAAATGTGCAAGTAGTTTTGAAAAAATAGTAAGCCACAAATGAAATCTAATGGATAACAATAGGCATTGAGCAATTTCTTTTTCTATTTAGATAAAAATGATTGAAAAAATTAATTCCATTTGGATGCAGTTGAGAATTATAAAAAGATGGCTCTTTTAATTGGAAAATTAAATAGAGACTGAGATCATGTTTACATAATTAGATTGAAAATAGGATATACTTGATAAATAAGTACATTATTAACAAATGTTATAATCGACTAAATAAGCAATTTTCCATTAATTATAATAATTCATACATATGCGAATGCGCACACACATAGGGGGTGTTTGGATCTGATTTTTAAAACTGCTTCTACTCCTCTAGGGAGCAGAAGCAGAAGCTGGAGTGTTTGGGTGAAAGTGCAGAAGTGATTCTGGTACTCTAATTTACTCTTAGAATCAGTTTTTTTAGAAGTTGGGGGAGACCAACTTCTGAAAACCGATTCTGATTCTGCTTCTACTTTAAAAAAGAAGCAGAATCAGAATCGATTCCAAACACCCCCATAGGCCATAGTAAAACTAAAAAAATCATTTCATCCCGTGCACGGCATGAGTAAAGATACTAGTTTTAAAAAACAAAACATTTCACTAATCATACCAACTGTTACACAAACTCTTACAAGAACACCACTGTCAGCAGAGTACAGAGAATCAGAGATCATCTCAGGGCAACTGATAAGTTGCTTTCAAGTAAACTTTCATCGGCATTTCAGATGTTCAATAAAACACATATATTTCCAGGTTTATTTAGACCTCCACAACACGGACAGGTCCTTCACCGGCAATTTAAGATACATAGGCTAGGGATCTCCCCCGAGCTCCACTCTCAGGTTGTCATACGGGTAAACCTTTGGTGTCTGATCAAGAATTGAAACATATTACATACACACACACACACACACACATATATATATATATAAGAGATCAAATACAAAGCATTCTTAAAATACTAACCTACAAACTCAATAATATGCATCACTTTGAACTTCAATATGCAGTAAAAATAATGTAAAGATGCAAGGGTGGGATCACATTCAAACTGGTTCTCCCATTCAAATCATCTTTGCATTATTTGTATTGCACATTGAAGTTCAAAGTGTTTCATATTATTCAAGCCATAAAATAGCAATTTCATATTTACATTATTTGCATTGCATATTGAAATTCAAAGAGTTCATATTTACATTATTTGTACTGCATATTAAAGTTCAAAGTGTTGCATATAATGTTGCATCTTTACATTCTCTTGTCCAGCACTTTTCTGTCCGAACGCCGTCCGAACACCGTCGTTTGGGGCGGTTCACGGCAGAATTTTTTGATGAAATTTTATGAGCACGTTCCTCATCAAGTCTAGTTTATACATACCAAATTTCAGATCAAAATTTGATCAGAAAGGCAGTCAAATAATTCGTTGAAGTTAACTGTGCCAAATTATACATAGAAAAACGCAGTTAACTTCAACGAATTAGACTGCCTTCCCGATCGAATTTTGAGCTGAAATTTAGTATAGATAAACTAGACTTGATGAGGAGCATGCTCAAAAAATTTCATCAAAAAATTCCACCGGGAACCGCCCCAAACGGCGGTGTTTGGACGGCGTTCGGACCGGAAGGTGCTGGACCTGAGAATTTTCCTATATAGAGAGAGAGAAAAGATCAGGTGAGAAGTGCCCCTTAAAATGAAATGTGAGAAGTAATCTCAGCCATTGGATTTGCATGTGATCTAGCAACGCAGTAAACTTATAGACTGAATATAGGAATTAGGAACTTATAACCAATAAATCATAACTTATAAAGCTCTCCATCATAATTACGAAAATGCCACCACGTCCAAAAATTTTCAAGGTTTCCAGGCTTATTTTTTTGCGGTGGCATTTTTGTAATTATTTTCGACGGGGTCTATAAGTCATGATTTATTGGTTAAAAGTTCGTGTTTTTAGTCTATTAGTTAAACATCGCAGTTCTCATTCTAAGAACACTTCTCACCTGATCCGCTCCATATGCACATATATATATATATATATATATACACACACACATGCACATATATAAGTGAATTAGCTAAACGGCTAATGACATGTGATAATAGCATGTTTTGTAAAAAGATATACTCCCTACGTCCCGAAAAGGTTGGCCCTTAGTTTTAAAAGGCACGAGGCGGCTTGAGGCGATTTCATTGATTCACCCGAGGCGCGAGGCGCTAGGCGTTGAGGCACTCGCATCACAGATCTCAACCACATTTCTTTGGTGAAATATATTTAAGTAATTCAAATAATTAATGTAATACACAATTAATAGTCATTCTGTGATAAATTAAATAATTAAGTTATATAAAAACTATTAATAGTAATTTAAATAATTAATGTAATAAACTGCTATATAAAAAATTGTTCAAAAATGTTAATAATAAAAACTGTTATTTTATGCAATACATAGTTAATAAATCAGTGTTCTAACACTACAATATATATTATATAGTATTATGATATTATCATTGTTATGCAATATACTATAAAATAATACATTTAATTAATAAACTATCACACAAATACAATTCTGTAAATTTAATTACAGACAGATTTGTAAATTTAAATAATTTTATAAATTTAGAAACTTAAAATACTTAAAAAACTTACAAACTTAAAAGGCTATAACTTTTTTCAGTTATCTATCAAAACTTATAAATAGCCAAAGATAATACTACGTATGTATCAACTATCTAACTTTTTATTTAAATAATTTTAATATTTTTATAAATATAACAACTTAAAATAAAAGAGAATAAATAGAAGAAGACAAAAAAAAAAGTAAACACACTTGCCTGCGACGCGAGAGAGTAGCCCAAGATAAGTCGGATAAGTCGGAAGAAGAACTACTGCAAGATGAATCGGAAGACCGCAGAAGGAAGAAACGAAGAAGAAGACTGAGACTTGGAGTCCATGAGGCGCCAAAAGCGCTCGCTTCTCATAAGCGCAAAAGGCGCTAATAAGCGAGAAAGGCGATCGCCTCTAAGAACCTAAGCCGTCTGAGTAAGTGAATTGCGATTAACCTAGCGCCCGAAGGGGCGCCTTTGTATGTCCAAATTTCATACAAAGGGTTGGCCAAATTTCATTTTTTGTATGTCCCAAAAATATTTGTCATTTCCATTTAAAGTGATGAATATGTGGCTAAAATTAATTTTCTCTCCACTGCACAAATTTCAACCACACAGTTTTTACTTTATTAATCCACGTGAAAGTCAACTTTGGCCAACCTTTACGGGACGGAGGGAGTATGATGTATGGGGAGTTAAAAACACTCCCTTTGTTCCTATTTATTCAAGTCTTGCCCTGTTTTCTTTTCATTATGTCACACTAATGAAATATACGCACATTAAATGTTTTCCCCAATCCACCTTACCCATAGTACCACATTACTATTCGTGTTACCGTTTTTTCAAAAGGAAAATAGATGTGATCCTGCATATTAAATGAGGGCATTTTGGGTAAAGTACAAGATATATTTTCGTAAACTGCATGAATTGGTAAACTTAGACACACACATAAATAAGAATGTGGGAAGTATGCCAAGTATTTTTGGGAGTTTGGGTGAGGGGGAGACCTGAAGGCTAGACGTAAGAGAGAAAAAGAAGTGACAAATTGACAATTTCCAAAGAGAGGGGCTAAGGAGGAATAGTAATTACATATCGCTTTAGATGTAAAGTGAACTCAAATAGTTGAATTGTATTCATTTTAAATTGAGCTAAAATAATCATTTAATTTGTTATCTTTAAAATTAGCGCTTTGAGCAAAAAAGCATTCGCCTAAGGCGCAAGGCGCGAGGTGTGAGGCACAAAAAAGCGCTCGCTTGAGGACTAGGGGTAGCATACATTATACTCCCTATAATGTATGAAACTATTAACTAAGTTAGACTATATGAAGTTTTATACAATTAAAATATGAATTAATAATAATAATAATAATAATAATAATAACAGAGTTATAGACTGCATGGATTTAAAAGGCGAAACGCCTTTACGCACCAGAGGCGCAAATGCGTAAATGCGGAAGAATAACGCTAGTAAGGCTTAAGCCTGAACTTACCGTAACAAGGCTTACGCCTTTTTTTGAAGAGGCGTAGAATGGGCTCCAAGGCGGTGCGCGTTCAAGAGGCGTACGCCTCTAATTTGAAGTAACTTGGGCTTCTTTTTTTAAAATTAGTGGGGGCCAGTTTTTTGTTTTCCCATCCTAAACACCAATTACCTAGATCGTTAGCCGACTTAGCCACAGCCTTATATAAACAATTGTCGTTCAGCCTGCCGACTTCAAACAAGAAACGGCAACTTGAAGAAGTAAAAAACAGGCTTAAAGGCTTAAAGTTGCTCAGGAAATCACCGGCTCAGCTCGCCGACTTCAGGAGCTCCCTGCATCTTTGCCGCTTCATCCAACCATCCAGGTATTAAGTATTAACCGTATTATACAATACCCCACTGCCCAATTTCATAATTTGTTATTATGTATTTGTGTTCCTAGTTTAAGTTTTATATTTGACTTTTTATATATTTAAAAGTTCTGTTTTCATTTATTAAAAGTTACGTACGCAAGCAATTTAGCAAGTATGCAATTAATGAATTTAACTTTTTATTTAACTTTTAACTTTTTATTTAACTTTTTATTTAAGTTCTAAAAAGTTCTGGTGAGCAGGTTTTTATTTAACTTTTTATTTATTTAAAAGTTTTTTTAGTTAAATAGTTGTCTGTTTATTTAACTGTTTAATTTTTTACTGTTTAATTAATGTATTTGTGTCTATTTTGAATTTGAAAGATCATAAATGTCTGTTTGTGTTTATTTAGTTGATTATATTTTGTGTCAGTTTGTGAGTATATTTTTGTCAGTTTGTGAATATATTTAGATGTTTAATTAAATATCTATTTGTGTCAGTTTGATTATATTATTTTTTTATTAAAGTTGATTATCAATTACTTAGTTATTTATTGTGAGTAGTTTACTTAAATTCTTGTAAAAGAATCATTTTATTCATAGGAGTGGGCTGATTACTCACGATGGTTAAACCCAGTAAGAATCAGGGAGAGGGGTCTAGCTCAAATAAGGATAAGGATCCTGCTTGGCATTATGGAATTAAATTAAATCCTCCGGCAGGAAAGACTGGTTATGTATATACAAAATGCAAATATTGCAATAAGGTGATCACCAGTGGAGTGGGGAGACTTAAAGAGCACCTTGCGGGAACACATAAAAATGTGGCGCCATGCAAAAGTGTTCCCGAAAATGTTAAAAAGGATGTGCTAGCAATGTTGAAGAACTATCAAGATCAGAAACACGTTAACCAGAAGTTTTTTGATGAAATGGTAGATTTTGGCTCGTACTTTGGTACTGGAGTAACTGGACCTCAACCGCGTGGGCCTATTGATCGCTTCGTTACTCGTCCGGGCAGTAGCTCAGGACATGTAGCAAATGAGCAGGAAGTTGTAGAAGATGATATTCTGCCTAACAAAATGAGTAAAACTACCATGAGAGAGCGACGCAATCTTGTTTGTCAAGATGTGGGCAGATTTTTCTTTGAAAATGCAATAGCATTTAATGTAGCCCGCAGTCCTTATTTTAACATGTTGCGTTCTGTTAGTAATTATGGTGCAGGCTTTAAACCCCCATCTATGCATGAGTTGCGGACGTGGATCCTTAAAGCGGAATATGATACCACAAACACATATGTGGAAGAAGTGAAGAAGACATGGCCACACACCGGAGTTAAGATAATGTCAGATGGGTGGAGCGACACAAGAAACCGAGGGCTTCTTAACATTCTTGTTAACAACCAATATGGTAATGTTTTCCTTAGATCTGTTGATGCATCGGATC